GGGCAGTCCTTGAACAGGTGGTCAGTTTGGTTGCAATTTTTACAATTGGCTCTTTTGTTCTGTTTATTTGGGCAGTTAATAACAATATAACCCATTTCATAACAATATTTGCATTCATTCTGGGGGCAGTCTTTGTACTGGTAGTCTCGAAGATCACAACTTTTACATTTCAATGGGCTTCTATACCAGGGTGTATAGGTAATCTATTCTTCCTCTTCTTTATTTGTTGTTGTAAAAGCATAGGCTTCTTGAGAGGTTAAATATTTCTGCTCATATAGTTCAAAGTCTTCTGGTGTGATACAAGTGGGTTGCTTTCTCTTTGGGCTGTTCTTGCTTATATGAAGTGTCAATTATGAGTTTCTTTCCTTTCCAGTATATAGTATATTAGCACATTTTCTAGTTATAGTTTGTTTCAACTTTTCTAGACTAATAATTTCCCAAAAGTAATGAATGTGAAGTAGCAGGTACTACTTCTACATCAATAGAAATAGTTCTACCTTGAATTTTAACAGATAGGTTTCTAATAATTCCAAGAGGTCGAGAGGTGGTTCCTGTAGTAGCTACAATTAAACTTCTAGAGGGTTCATCTATTTTTAATCCTTATTCTTTTACAACTTTGTGAGCAATCATGCTAACAGAGGCTCCACTATCAATAATAGCAGGGTACATATGATCTTTTAGATCTACAAAGCATTTGACAGAAGTAATGTTATTGTTGTTTTTCATGGTTGGTTTAGTGTTTTCTCAGTTCATTTCAGTAATATAAGTAGTGAGAGCTGTACAAATAGAGTAATTGTCTAGAAATCTTTCCCAATTATTGTTGTTAGATGGTGTAGAGTTAGAGTTTGATGTTTCTGCCATGTTTACATTCCAGTAGTAAAGTGAGGGTGAGTGGTGAGATCTGGGTCCCCATCTTTCTTGGCTTCTATTTCTAGATCTGCTTCTATCTTGAGAATAGTTTCTATCTCTGCTTCTGCTTCTATATCTTTCACATGATTGACTTCTATCCCTGGCTCTTCTATAATCATTAAATCTATTGTTATAATTGCTTCTTTGATTATAGTTGTTATTTTTATTTCTTTCATTATTTCTATTTTTTTCTAATTTTCTTTGATAACAGTCAGCTATATAATGTCCCTTTTTATCACAGTAGTGATAAGCAAATTTGTTTCTAAAGGGGCTTTGTTTTGTTTCTGCAACATAAACTAGTTTTTGTTGCTGTTGCTGGGCAAGATTAATACTTAATTGAGCAATTTGGTCTGTAAGTTGAGCAATTGCTTCTGTGGTGTCTGTTTCTGGAGCAGTAATATGTTTTCCTGTTTTCTAATTTCTGGTAGCATTCATAATAGCATCAATATCATCTAGGCCAGCTGCTTGTATAGGCATAGCTAGGGTTCCAACCCATCACTCGGGTAACCATGCAACCTATTATCCAAACCAAAAAAATTACCAATCAGATCATAGTTTTGTTAAACCGGTTTTTAATATAATAAGTGGGTATCCGGTTAATAAACGATTATAAATAAATATTCGGTTAACCCGAATATCCAGTTAATAAATAATTGGCGATTACAGCTATTTTCATAATTTCTAGAACACCTGATAAAAATTTGCCGAATGATTTTTCAGCTGATTCAATTAAGTTTGCAATTTCGGTATGATATCATAGTAACTAATCAGGTTTTTTTTCATTAAAGTTTTAAAAATATTTTGTATCATTCATATTCAATGAGCATGGTTCTCCTGCAAGTGACGGAAGCTTTTCAATATATCCATATCTTTAAAAGTGCTTGAGAATTCGACTTATAACTGATATGCTAACACCTAAGTATTTGGCAATTTTTCGCATTCTAAAATTTTTTTCTAGCAAAGATGATTTATATTAGTCATCTGATCTTACAGTAAATTATGTACGTACATAACTTATAGAATCTATTATGCTGAAATTACAAACTTAATTGAATTGGCTAAAAATTCATTTGGCCAATTTTATCAGGTGTTCCAGGAATTATGAAAATAGCTGTAATATAATAGTGTGTAATCGATAATGATTTGTGCTGTGTGCCCGCATTACAAATTACTATTCTGTGTTATGAACACCAATTCTATAAATTTGTGTGGCCTAAGTGAAAAAAGTTCTAATACACGATACCGATATGTACTATAGTATGATACTCATATGCCATATTAGTAATTAATTAATATTTAAAAAGATTTATATAAAAAAAATTTTTTTTTGCATTATTTTCTTTGTTCGCTAAGAACACGACAGATTAAGAGTGCTTGTTCTTAGTTTTAAGCATACCCATAAAAGCTCTTCTAGTAGTTTTGCTACGTAGCACTAATTATCTGTTCATATTCTACTAGTCATAGTCTACCAGTTGTTGTTCTCTTACCGGTTATACTCTTACCAGTTGTTGACCATCAAAAAAAAAAAAAAGTATACATATAAGAGTAAAGGTTTAATAAACAGGTATGATTCCTTTAAGTTAAACATGAATACTTACTATGTAAATAATAATAAATTGCATTTTAAAAGGTCAATCTAGGCTTTACGATGCCTGATTATATGCACGAAGATGATACGTTTTCTCTACAATATAGAGAATTGCCTAGAAATGAAGAACCGTCTGTAAATAATGAACCTTCTATAAATAATGAACCTTCTATAAATAATGAACCTTCTATAAATAATAAACCTTCTATAAATGATGAATCTTCTATAAATAATAAATCTGATGAAAGAGAAAAAAAATGAAAGAAATGAGATAATTCTAGTATCGCATGAGACTATTTTAAAACTAAAGAAACAGAAGATGGCTTTTTTTGATGTTTTTCAACTTTGTAAGGAAAAAAATATTATAGTAAGGTATATACATAACTCTTCAACTGGAAATATACTTTGCTATCTCTAGTCCAAGCATCGAATTGATAAAAATCATCGTAATAGAGAACATACTGATAATTCAATTATCAAGGCCTTGCATATTATTACCAAACATCGACAAGAAAAATTAGCGCAAGATTTGGTTGAATTTATTATTGAAGATTGCTAACCATTGAATATTCTGCATTGTCAAGCTTTTCATCAACTTCTAAATAATCTGAAACCTGGATTTCAGATTCCCTGCAAAGTGACCACAAAAAAAATAATTCATCAAGCTTATGATTGGAGTTGTAATCAATTATTTGGCATAATGAATATAGATAGAGGATCTATTAATTTGACTATAGATCTATGGTGCTCAAAAATGAATAAAGAGTATATTGGAGTGACAGCAACTTGGATTGATTCAAATTTTATATTAAAAGAGGCTTTATTAACGATCCAACCAATTTCGTCACCTCATACGGCTGAAAATATCAAAAGTATGCTTAATCAAGTTATCCTAGAATAGGGATTAACTGGAAAAGTTTTTTGCATTATGACTGACAATGGTCGCAATATTAAAAAGGCAATTGGTTTAATAAATAATGTTATGCATTCAGCTTGTTCTGCTCATATGCTTTAGTTAAGTGTACTAAAAGGTCTTAAACCTATAGCACGATTAATTAAGCAAGCAAAAAACCTGATTTTTTTTTTCCCCAAAGCCCTAAACAAACCAAACAACTTAATGATATACAAGAAAAGTGTCGATATGCAACAATTTACCAAGTAATTGATGATGTATCAACAAGGTGGAATTCCTTGTACTTGGCCTGGGTTCAACTCAGGGAATTGAAAAAAGCAATCAATTATCTTGTTCTTATGCTGCCATCTGAAGTAGAATGGTGTGACCGACTTGATGGTGAATATTTGAAGCTAATAAACTTAACCGAAAATAAGTAGCAATTATTGGATGATCTTATTATATTAATAAAGCCATTTTATGAAGCTACTACAATATTTTCTAATTCCAATTATCCTATGTTCAACCTCATTTATCCAACAATGGAGCTACTCATTAAAAAGTTTGAGCCTTCTGATGGGCAAACTAAAGCTGATTATACAAATTTGTTATTTGGAACTACGAAACAAATAAGTGATCAAAGTCAATTAGTTATTGATAATGAAAATTCTGATGAATCAGATTTAGAATATGAGCTTGAGGCACCAATTATTTTAGAGCAACTTCGGCAACTGTTATGTGCATCTCAAGGACGAAAAAAAAAAAAAACATAAAAAAGCCATATCTAAGCAATATAGTGATTCACGATTTAAAAATCATCGCTTAATAGAACCACCTGTTACTACTGTAGAGTTATATGATATGGTCAAGGCTACAAGTTATCTTTCTCTCAAAGAGTATTGGGAAGTTTCTGATGAAATTGGACTTATTGCATTGTTTTTGGACCCTTAAATAAAGAATATGAATTTTATTAATGATGAGGATATAAAGATAACCACAATTAATATAGTGCGAAGACTCTGTTTTGAGGAAAAACGTCACCAACCTTTGATTGAAGAAATTCTAAAAGATGATGAATTTGCTAGATCTAATAATTTAATGTCAGATTTATATAGTAATGAAGAATTAAGTGGTGTAACTAAAGAGAATGAAGTTGATTATTATATTCATGGGCCTATTTAAAGAAGAAAATATGATCTATTAACATGATGGCAAAATAATGCAAACAAATTTCCCATGCTATCAAACCTGGCTCGGAAATATCTATCAGTTCCAGCTATATCGGTCCCTTCTGAGCGTTTGTTTTCAGATGCTGGATTGCATATTACAGCATTGAGTAATAGGCTTCACCCTGACATGGTTGAACGAATGATGTTTCTTAAGCACAATAAGCAGCACTTCTCTATTTTTAGGCCAAATAAATTATAAGAGGTAACAGTAATAGATAATATTTATATGAGACTATAATTTTACCTTTTAAATATAATAATCAGTTTTGTTGAATAGATGTTATTTTTAATACATCTGAAAATACATGAATTCCAGAAAACTCTCTACTGAAATTGCAGCATAAATAACGCTCAGTATACGAATGATATATATGTACATGGCTGAAAGAATTAGGAATTGCAATCGTCTATAAATTTACCTGATGATTATTGTTATAAAAAAAGACATTTGTAGAATTAGTGAATTATTAGAGATACATCAATAGGCAACTTCATCACATCATTGATATATTCTAATGATCTTATTAATATTAAAGTAACTAAAAAAAAAACATTTGATAACAATGAAAAACGCTAGTTATAATATTTAGAAAAACTTCAAAATACATATAATAGGGTTTAAGCTTTTATTAGACAAATTAGCAGGTTTTTTGGGCTACACTTTGTAAGAATTTTTATCTTATATCATTTATTATTTATAGAAGATTCATCATTTATAGAAGGTTTATTATTTATAGAAGGTTCATTATTTA